TAACGTTTTGTCTGCATCTGTACTTTAAAAACAGTTGTCCGGTTTTCATGTGTTATGACCGCATAATAAAAAAAGTACCTGTCTGTTAGTTTTGAATTGGATGTACCATGAACCGAACCGTGAGCACACCCTCTAACATGGTGTGTATATTGCCGGAGCGAGACTTCTATTTTTTGTGTGTGCATGTTGACGTATTATAGTGCAGCATTTGATCCTTTTACAAAACAAACATACATAAATAAATAAATAAATAAATAAATAAATAAATAAATAAATAAAAATTCTACCAAGGGAAAACAAAACCAATGGCGAGGGTGACACAACAGAGCGAGGCCTCAGTTAAAGTGCGCCTTTAAGAAACAATTATTTTCATAAATGACTAGTAGATAAGTACACTAAATCTATTAAATTATCCATAATAAACAGCTAAAAAAATAATATTTATTTACTAAGAAGGCTAAAAAATATCATGAGTGCTAAAAAGACATTAATTGTAACTGTAGTAACAGCATATATTACTTCAAAGACATGAGTGTTACGTGCAACGCAGCACTTGGGACAGATTGATTTTCACGTGCTGAAAATGTTGACGTCGTAAAGTTTAGCGAAGGCACTCTGTTCGTGTCCATGGAGCTCAGGGACTTGACGAATTTGTATTTATTGAGATTAAAACAGATAGATGCTGGTAGATAATTCCATAACTAATAGGTAAACGATTAAAATAACTATTTTAAAACAATGTAGTGCGGCACTTAGAAATTGACAAATCTAAAACTAAGCTGCTGCACAAAATCATTATGACAGATATTGTAGTGACCTAATTGGCATCTGAAGTAGAATTGAAAAGAAGATCATTGATTTCATAAAAAAGAAGAATAGGCAAGAGGTTCAGTTTAATATTATAAGCCTCTCCTGGTAGCTGGTAGAATCCGTTTAACTCAAGTTTAACATAAATTTTGTAGCTCTTCATTGAAGACTTTCAACTTTAGAGATGTTTCCTATAGATTGAGGTGCCCAGATTCAGGGGAGATCTGTCGAATGTAAGGTACAAAAGTCTTCTGGTGTCTGTCAGTGTCAAAATCGCAGCAAGTGTGTCTTCGAAGAAATCCTAATGTTCAGTAACACTGTACTTATGAGATAACATTGTTTATGTACTGGTTCCACGTAAGGTCACCAGTAACCGTTACTCCAAAATCTTTTTTGCGAGGTTACAGGAGACAGAGCATCAAATCCAATTGAATTTTATAGCCGAAACAGACTCGGGTTTCGTTTGCGTGGAGCGGAGAAACTTCGCATTTAGAGCTATCCCACAGTGCATAAAGAAATGTACCGAATTTACGCTAATTAACCTCACGGCGCTTATTTGAAGGCAGTGCTTAATACCATAATAATACCGCTTAGCACCATATTTACGCGACTAAGCGCCGCGGCGCTTATTAAACTTCCTCGCCCCCAAATGCGGCACTTATTCGAGAAATTACTGTACAGATGTTAATTGGCAACTTAAAAGAGTTTATTACATTTAGGGCAAGTTGTTATTACATTTAGGACAAATATTTTTACATTTAGGACTTTATTACATTTAGGCCTGGGCTAACTTGAAAGTAGAACTATAGTAATTAGGGACCTTAAGCATCGACGACGAAAAGGGACGACGACGCCGACCGGAATTGAAGTGAAATTTTGCCGCGCGAACCTGTGCACGCGTAAAGTTGTCGAAAAGTCGTCCAGCCTTTGTCCACAACGAAATTCAGGGAGGTTTGCCGTCGTCGCTAAAACGTAGGTATAAAACTATACTTTTTGCGTGTAAATCACTCTTTTTTTCCCTTATCATTCAGTGCAACCAGACAAAACCTTAACAAACCAAGGTAATAATAAATAAAGTAAAAGCACATTTTAGAGAAGTGGAAAAAATCGCTTACTGAAGGAAAACGCACTGTCTTGCATGTTGTTCCAGTCCACTACTGTGACATGCGCACCTCTCCACTGACCCCACCTTCTGGGGCTCCTTGATAAGCTATCCAGTCTATGGACACATTAGCACGGGTCCTTCGCTCGTTGAAACCAGCCGCCATCACGCACGCAGTGAATTGTTCGTAGGTCACATCTTCAATCCACGACACAGCAGCATCGTGGACGTAATTCATGTCCCTTGTATCGATGTGATTGACAGTTACCTGCACTTGAACGGGTTTATCAGGGTAGAACACAAATGGTCGGAAACCAATTACTTCACAGTGAGAATATCCCAAGGAAGGTATATGAGGCATGTGACGCCGGTCACGCTGAAATGGGAACCCTGCAAAGTAGTACAAAAACGCAAATGTAAAGAAAAAAAAAAGAATGAGAGAGTTCGAGTTATCATGAGGCGATTTGTCTCGAGCTCCACTTTAGACAAGATTATATATTTTTTTAAAAGTCATAAACTGTTCACCTTACTAAATGACCTCAGTATTTCACATTTTACGTTACTAAAACGACGCATTTTTTGCTTTAATTAAATCGTGTCACGGTAAAATTTCCTCGTTTGTGCTTTTGCTATAGAAATATGTTCAGAGATCAGCTTCGCATTAATAACCAGTTTATACCTTTGAAACGACTTCTAACTGGTACAGTGGTAGAGATTCAGAAGATGTGATATCGATACGTTGTTAGTGAAGATTTTTTGACGTTTCTTTTTTTCGGGGTTGTTAATTTGGGTGATTGAATTAAATGGCAATTGATACCATAAATTACGAGATCACTGATACCTTCACAGCTCCCAGGATGCTGCACAGTAAAGTTCAGCTGTAACAAACACATTTCCTGCTTAAAGAGACACTTGTTGTCATACGTCGTTCCGTTAGAAGAACAGATAGGCTCTTGATAAGATGGGCAACTGTCTATGCACACACAGCGGGCATCGTATGGTCCAAAAGCTTTGCATAGACCATGATAATCACAGTGTACGCCATCTATACAAGGATCCAGGTCTGTGTAAAACAAAAGATGCATGATTATCATTAATTTTGTGTGCATAATATATCTAACGGAATTAAGTGCTTATACCGAGATTTGGATTTGGTCTATAAGAGTATTAATCTAGAGTAGGGCTTGATTTAGGGGAGCAAGGGTGGCGCAGTGGTGAAAGAACTCGCCTCCCACCAATGTGGCCCGGGTTCAAATCCCGGCGTCGACACCATGTGTGGGTTGAGTTTGTTGTTGGTTCTCTCCCCTTGCTCCGAGAGGTTTTTCTCCGGGTGCTCCGGTATTCCCCTCTCCACAAAAACTAGCACTTCCAAATTCCAATTCAACCAGGAATCAGGTAGACGAAGAACCACTATGTGGATGTGCTTCCTGCAAATCGTTATTTATTTATTTATTTTATTTATTATTTATTTGATTGTTGTTTTGTTGTTGTTGCTGTTTTTTTGCTTTTACTTTAATTTCAACGAAGTTTTACCGAACATGGCGAGGGAGAGAAAGAGAAAAACAGTGAGGTGAATGATCGATGCTATCATTCTTGTTATCGGTAATTTTCATGTTGAACTGACGCTTATAAATTAAACACCGATCTTCTATCTAAAGGATCTGTTAGTGTTAACGAAACAAAGTGACAATATTAGTCTTTACACTAGAACCTAAATTAGCTAAGAAATAATTCCAAAGAAGTAGATTTTAAATTCTTCAAGTAAAAGGGAACAAGTGTATGGAACAAGTCCTAAATGACCTATTGCGTTGAAACGGCATTACTTGACATCAAAGCAGGAGGTCGTCTGATTATTTTTTTGCCGTGCACCATATGATCTTCTAAATCCTAATAATCTCAAAAAAATCAATTAGCTGTTCTCTTTGAATTTGTTTCATGAATGGTCGCAAAGTTATCACATTAGTGGTTAAGTTTTTTTTATTACATTAAAGGTTAGAATGTTATCATATTAGTGGTTTTTTTTTTATTACCTTATTAGTGGTTAGTAATACATTAGTGGTCGATTATTACATTACTGGGTGATATACCTACCTCCAGTAATCAGATAATCGACTTTTATGGTATCCTTGCTGTTGGTTTCATAGACTCGAACACAAATCTCTGTTTTTGCGGTGGACGTGTACTAAGGGTAGAAAATCGAGATTGCTAATAACATTATTACTCCAAAGCAGTGTTGAAAATTTTACTAAACAAACGATCAAAACGTAAAGGTGACGAGAAACTTTGACGAAAACTGAACTGTTAACCACAGATATAAAAAGTTGTTTAAATGTTTAGGAATCAGTAAGAGGACTCGTATCTGCTAAAAAAAAGTTGATTCGGTTTGAACATTTTATTCATTCTCCAATTCCTTTGAACCGGTTATTACTGTCACTCCATCAAAAATGGAAATCGATTCTGTGTGATAAAGAAAGTCCAGAATCTGGGAAATGAAAGAAGATAAATAAATATATTCAAAAAACCTTTGCAAGGACTCAGGCCTTTGTGATATTTCCTGTTATGCGGAAATACTTATAAATTTTTTTCCCCAAATTTACAGAACTTGATGTTGTTGTTCCTCAGAGGGGAACCAATATAGTGGTCAGAAACCAACAAAAATGTCTGTTTTTGCGATGGCACAATCTGAAAAAAAGTGACAATTTTCTAACCCAAATCACAGTTTTCTAGGCCCTTTCAGATCCTTGAAATGCCGCGTCACGCAAAAGGTTAAAAATTAATAGCGTACTTTATCACTGACAAAACGAAGAGCCCTTTCGAACAGACAATTTGTAAAAATACGGGTTATGCTGCTCTATAACTGATGAATTTGTATGAATTTTGATGACGTCACGTGAAAACCACCAAGAATATAATACTAGCGTGGCGTTAAACTTTGTGAAAAGATTTTCTTACACTTTCTGTCTTTCTTGTCAATCTGGGATTTCTTTTATTTATTCACGGCATGGATTGATCATATTTATTAAGATTCAACGCTAAATTAATCTTTTGCCATCTGCAAGTTTGTAAAACAATTTTACCTCGACCCAAGCGGTGATTGCGTTACACCCAGACAAACGCGAATCGTTGTTGATGCGTTTTGCCGTCACTATCACCACAGGAGGAGCATAGAATTCGTCTGTAAAGTTGATATTCTGTCAAAGAAAGATATAGCTTGTTAAAAACAACTTTTTTATTTAAGATAAATGGCAAAACATGAGAATTATAAATAAAATGAACAAATGACTTTAACAAGCAAGTTTCGACTTGTCTCTCAGACTACTCCATGAATTAATGCACAATGCAGAATATTCAGAACAACTAGGATTAGTTGTTTATTGGTTCTGCTAAAAAGGAACATCATCCCGCTTTCGATTTTCTTAATGCAAATAAATTTTAGTGCTCCATTTAGTAACCTAACAATTTACTTTCATACCTGGCAAAAGGCGTAGTTAGCCTGCTGAGATAACAAGTTATAATTTGTAAACAAGAGGCTGTCAGTTAATGTGAAGTTTCCAACACTGAGGTTTGTATAAGCCATCCAGTTCTGCAGCAATGGAAAAAAAATCATATTTTAGAAATTTGTAGCCGTTTTTGCCATATAATGTTACTAAATCAGGTGTCCGCTATTAAGCTAAATGGGGGGAGGTAGAGGCACGCCCCCCATAACTTAAAAACTGCATATGATAATACAGCTAGACCAGATAATTTGGTCATAATAATGTACTCAACCTATCTAACATCTTGCGATAAACTGCCCGACAAAATTATGTAATGTGACTTCAGCTTGAGTATAATAGAAAACACTTAAATGGGAAGGTGTCTGATTAAATTGCAAAGTAGGCTAACACTGATTAATGCCCTTAACAACAGAAGTGACAGCATGATGAACAGGAGGAACTGGAACTTTCAATCGGGCATGCATCTGTAAGAAATGAAAGCATTTCAATCCAGTTTCGTCGATGGAGTGTTCGAATTCAACTGCATTATCGTGTCATTAAGGAAAGGCTGAAGACACTTGTCCAACTAAAGAATATTTCTAACACTTTCGTAGCGATAAGCCTTACCGATATTACAGAGTTTATCTTGCTGTCAATTCAAATAAAACTAACTGAACACTGTACCTGAATTGCAGATCTTAAATAGACACCCTTAGGATATTTGAAGAATACATTTTCACCGTTTGATTGATTTTGAACAAGCTAAATGTATTTGTTTTGCTTATTTGTGTGTAGAAGAATATTCTGAAATTAAACTTAATGTGCCAGCAATAAAATTCAGAGGGAAATGAACATTCTTGGAAAATTATCTCAACACTTCTGTACATTAATTTTCTTCAAATCCACATCTTTTATCAAATAAGAGCCCCAAAAACCTTGATTGCATTTTTACAATTTTCTCTTTAA